GCCCAGCCCCCCGCCGGCACGCCCGCCGCCGCGGCGCCCACGCCGCCCCTCGGGACGCGGCGCGCCGCGCCCGCGCCGGCGTCCGGGCCCGGGCCGCTGCGCCCGCGGGGGTTCGTCGCCTGCCCCGAACGCCTTCCTGATGCTTTTCTGCCACGCACCTGATGCCTTTTGGCCCCTCACCTCTCTCACTATCTGGGATTTGGGTTCCTCGACATACAAACCCGTCATGCCGATTCCCCAGGCCCCCAGGCCACGTGATCCCTCCGTCGGCCCGGCCCCAATCCTTGTTCCGCTGGAATAGAATGCACCGCACGCTCTCGTCCCAACGGCCTCGCTTTGCGCTCTCGCGCCCTCTGCTTTTCCGCCGCACTGCCATCGCCGTTGGGGCCCGCGCGGGGCGCCAGCGTGCGCGCCCGAGCGGCCCCGACGCGCGCGCCTGACTTATGCACGCCTTTCCTTATCCGCGCCCCACATACATCAGTACCCTGGGTCTCCTCTGCCGCCCTTCCGTCTTGTGCGGCGCGATCTGGCGGCCGGAGCGGTCAATGCCGCAGTCAACCCCGCCGAGCCGGCGCCGCGCCACTCTCGCCTGCCTTCGGCCAATCAGTCCCCCGACTCGCCTCCCACGCCCACCTAAGCCTTTCGGCCCGGGCAAAGTGCGACTAAATTTGCTCTGCCCCGCCGCGGGCCTGCGCTCGCCGCCCCGCCCGGCGGCAGGCGGTGCCCGTGGCTAGGCGGCTCAATGCACCACACCAGTAGGCCTGTGTGCGCGCACACGTAGGCTTCGTTTGTTTGCTGCGGTTGCTTATCAGCCAAGGAATCCTGGCTCCCCCCCCCACCTGCCGCCCTTGATTTGTGCGCGCGGCCGGCCCCTCGCCAGCCCTGGTGCTTCTGAAGGAAAACGGGCGCACTTTTACGCGCGGCACGCGCCCTACTCTTGCCGCCGGCTGACGGCCTAGCCTGTTTTGCTGACACGGCCGGCGCGTGGCGACGATCAGGCTCGCGGCAGGACGGCACAACCCCTTGAGTGTGTGGGCAGGCGAGCGCTCGCGCCTCTTCAGGGAGGCGCGGCCTTTGACTCTGGCTCTTCTTCGCTTCTCCAGCGCTCCTGTGGGCCCTCGACGACGGCTTCGCGCGCGCGGCAGGGCGGCGCGATGCCTGTCAACCGACCCGCGGCCGCCAGCTTTGATGCATCCCCCTCCTGACAACCCTGCCTTCTGGAAAGTCCTTGGATAGCCGCGGCCGCTGCCACCGCCGCGGCGCGGCGCGGCGCGCCGCGGGCGCCGTCCAAAGTCTGCGCCGTGCGGCGCGCCGCGCGCCTGCGGTGCGTGTCGCTTTTGGCTGGGCTGGTGTGAGGATCCTTTGCAAGCACCCTGGCAGCTCAACGTTTGGTATCAAAAAATCGATGGCCGGGCCCAAGGCCTCGTGGCAGCACTTCCGTTGGTCTTGAAATCATCAGCACGCAACTGCGCCCATAATGCACGTCTGCAGCAGCGGACTGTGCCAATTGCTATGCGCACAACACACACGCGACACGCACAACACGCATGCAACACACACAGCGCACAACACTTGCACACACACACACACACACCACACACACACACACACACCCACGCACCATGCTCCAACCAGAAGTGCATTTTCGACTTCCGACCCACAAGCAACCCTCTTGACCGCGAGCACGTGTTTGGCGCAAAGGCGACCGCACGGCAGCCGTGACTCTCCCGCCACGCACCTGCCCCTAGAGCCGTCCCGGCTGGACTGGCCGCCCCAACGGACTGCCCCGCACTGAGGCCGCGCGCGCCCGTCGCGCACGGTTTGTTGGATTCGAATGGAAGCCCGGACTGGCTGGGCTTGGCTGTTCCTGCGTGATCGGACTGCCTGGTCTGGACTGGTCTGGCAGGACTGTTCTTTTGTGGCCGAACCATCTCGGCTTGTGCTGGCCTGGACTGTGCCGGAGTCGATCCGACTCAGCCCAGACTGGTTTTGTCGTTTCGTCACGAGCACACGCGTGCGGGGCGCGGGGAATGCTGCACAATCCATTCCGCGGGGCGCCCCTTGACCCCGCTCCGCGCCCCTCACGCCTGGCCCGCTCCCCAACACAATGTTGCTATTACCTTCTGTCGCCCGCGCCTGCGCGCGGAGCACGCGCGCGGTCTACGGCCGCGGCTGCCCGCAGGCGCGGTTATCTGTCGGGAGTGAATTGCGGGGCGGCACCAGGTTTTTGGGATGCAAGGGAGGGGAGCCGGCGGCCCCGCTTTGGGTGCTCTTAAGCCTGGGCTTTGAGAATCGACATACGTTCTCGCGTGACATCACACGAGACATTTAAGGCCTGCCGGGCTGCAGGGCAGCACCTGGCCCGCGCGGGCCTGATCACTGCATCGACATGGTTTGACTTGCGGCGACAGGGTTTGACCGCAGGGGCTGCGCTCGTGCTGCGGGCCCCTGTCTCAGCACTTGAAATAAGCGGCGGAGCAAGCGTAGCAACGCCGCACATCACTGATATGGCCTCTTGTAATCACCTTTATTCCCCTCATCACAGCGTCATGGCATGTCCAGCGCAGAGATGCCCGCTCGAGAAACAATTGGTTTGAGCCAATTTAAGTCTGGAGCACAGCGGGCAAGGAAGAGAGCAGCGGCAAGGAAGAAGCGCCCCCCGCCGCGCTGCGCCTCGCGGGGTTGGCCCCGAGTTCTGCCTTAATCCCCGCTAGAAAAAAGCGCTAGCAGCGTCTCGCCTCGCCCTTCGCAGCCGCGGGCCCCGCCTCGAGGCTCAGTATGAAGTCCCACTCTGGCGCGGACACGGGCTGCACCGACAGCCGCGACTGGCGGAACAGCGCCATGCCGCTGAGGCCGCCCTCCTTGTGGCTCTTGAGCTCCTCCAGGGTGATCTGCCTGTGTGTGTGTGTGTATGTGTGGGCACGCACGTGCGCACGTGCGCCTGCGTGAGTGTGCAAGTAATTGTGATTGGTTTTCGGGCTGTATGGGGTGTGTACGTGAGGGTGGCGGGGTGGGGGCTGCAGCGGGGTGAACAAGGGGGGGGGGTTAGGTGTGTGCTGTGCACCCGTGTGCAATCGTACGAGCGTGCATGTGGGTGATGACATCACACCTGCCCAACCGCCGCTCCAGCTGGACATCGACCATGAACCACTTGGGCTTGTCCTGTGAGGCACCGAGGCAGGGCCAGGGCAGGCGCGCATGCGTTCAGTGCAAGGCACAGGATTCGAAGTCAGGAACGTGGGCTGGTGGGTGTGCGGGCCGCACACGCAGAATCGGGGGCGCGAAAGCGCCCAGCCTGCGGTGGGCCGGGGCCGGCGGGCGCGGCGCGTTGTGGGCCCGTCGCGGCGGCCGGCGGCGGTTGTGGCCGGCCGGCGTCACCCGCCGGCGTCACTGGATTACCTGCGTGGCCTTGGGGTCGTGGTACTGGCTGCTGCTGTCGAACTGGGTGTGGTCCGGGTACGCCTCCTTGACCACCTGGCGGGGGCGGCGGCAGCGCGATGACGTCAGCACTGTCAGGTGCGGCGTCGTGATGACGTCATGAGGGTGATGACATCATCGTGTCGGACCGATGACGCAGCACTATTGGAGGCGACTACAGGCACCGCGGCACCGCAGCGCCGCGGGTTGCGTTTGTGGGGGGCAGCAGGCTGAGGGGAGGGCGCCGCCGGCCGCGGGCTGGTGGCTGAGCGTGTGGGCGTTGTTGGTTGAGAGCTGGGGGGCGGGGTGAGTGAACGAGCGTGGGGGCCTGGCAAGGGTGGAAGCGGGGTGGAGGCTGGGCCGCGTCGAAGCTGCAGGGGTAGACCTCCATACGTTTGTGTGTGTGCGTGCGTGTGTGTGTGTGCACGTGCGTGCGCGTGCGCATGCGCTTGTGTGTGAGATTATGTGTGTGTGTGTGTATGTTTGTGTATGTGTGTTTGTGTGTGTGTTTGTGTGCGCGCATGTGCTTGCGCATGCGCTTGTGTGCGTTTGTGTGTTTGTGTATGTGCGTGTGTGTGCGCGCGTGTGCGTGTGCGTGTGCGTGTGTGTGTGTGTGTGTGTGTGTGTGTGTGTGTGTGTGTGTGTGTGTGCGTGAGCGTCCACGCCACGCGCGCACCTTGAGAAGCCCGACAATGCCTGGCACCTGCAGCGGGGGTGATACATTGGCACCAGAGGGCAGCCAGGGGTCAACAGATCGCCCCGGCCCCATCCGCGGGGCAACCGCGGCCCCAAGCCCTCGCCGTGCGGCCAGGGCCTCTGAGCGCGCGTATGCCGTCCAAGAGCCGCAGCCTGTGTGAGCTGCGGCAACTGCCCATGCCCCCTGGCGGTCCTGTCGGCAGGGGCCGGGGAGTGCCGCGCTGCCCCCCACACCTTGCAGCTGGAGTGGTAGAGGAAGCATTGGTCTCCCAGCCGCATGCTCTGGGGGAATCGGCGGGGCCAGGGAGCGGGATCGCGGGGAGGTGGTGGTGGCGATTTGAGGCCGCGCTCTCGCCCCTCCCGCAAGGGAATTCGGTGATCGGCGGCCGCCCTCGTTCCCTCGGCCCACCGCGCGTGTGTTTATGATGCAGTAGCGGACCGCGAGGCTTAGCCACGCAGGCATCCCACGGAGCGACGCCCCGTGAAGACCCGGCGGGCCAGCGCCCTGCCCCCCAC